TCTGTCCTTTGCGTCTGGAAAAGTGTGATACTGTCACTGAGGGAAAAGATACTTTTCCACGCTTTTTTTTTTTTTTTTTAACCGGCATCAGCAGTCAGCCACCTGTGAATTAGGGAATGATCTTGGCTCCTCGGTTCAGAGAGAAAAGAGGTAACTAAAGTAATTTGTGAAGAGGAGGGCCAAGATGTTAGAGGGAGAGGAAGGATGAGGGGGTGATAGGAAAGATGCTGTGATTGGTGGATAACTGAAGTTAGCCTCCAACGACAGCCCCGTTTCTTTAAAGGAGAGGGAAGTCTGCTGTGCAGGGTGCCTTGTAGGAACAGAACACAACAGTCAGTGCTTCCCAGAAAGTGCTATTACGGAAGGGAGCAAACAGATACAGATTAAAAGGGGTTTGGATGCCCTCTCTTTAACTAACTAAATGGAGCCAAAATGCTGTTCTTTTTTAATTTAATTTAGTTCACTTTCGTGTTTGAGACAGCGTCTCCGTCTGCAGCCTAGGTTGGCCTAGACTCATGATCTAGCACAGGCCGGTCCCAAGCTGCCAGGAGTCTGTTGCAGTTTTGTGAGTGCTGGTAATACCATGTGATTTTGCACAGAGCCAGTATAGGAAAATCATTTGGATGTTTTTGTTTGTTTGTTTGTTTGTAATACTGGGTTCTCTAAATACGTGTTTTAGACCGATAGCCCTTCTCAGCTTGGAATAGCTTCCTGCTAAGTGGGGTGGGAGTCTCGTTCTGTGAACTGGTACCAGTTTTGCAGTCACGGCAAATGATACCTGCTGTGGATATTGGCTGTGTTGGGAGGGCCAGGAAGGCAGAGGTGAGTTGTTCAGAATATTCAGTTAGCAATTTGAAGATAAGTCAAATGTGGTATACATAAAATGTGTTTCTAGAAGTTGGATACAGTAGTTACTTAAAATCCTTTTAAAAGTCATCACAGAAAAATAAGCTTATTTCCAACCTCTTCAGTTAGAAAACAGTAAGAGCCAGGCTTGGTGGTATAGTTTGTACTCCTGCCTGCTCAGGAGAGTTTTAAGTCCAAGGCCTGCGTGGACTACAGACTAAGTTAAAGTCTGTTTCAGCAGTTTAGCAAGACCTTGTCCTAGAATCAAAAGACTTTAAAAAACCAGGGATATGTCTCAAAGATAAGGAACTTGCCAAGCGTTTGCAGGGATCTGGGCTGAGTCTAACACAGGCAGAACAGGCCTAAGTCTGGGATGGGAGAGGAGAGTCTTTCCCTCTTGGATGTAGCACGTCTCTGTAAATATCTGCAGACTACAGGATTTCAGAGAGCGGCTGTCTGTATCCATTGATCTTTGGCCCTGACTGCTTCACTGGGCTACACCTGATGTCCCACAGCCTGGGTCTCTGCGGTGTGTCCAGCGCGCAGGACCCCAGGGAAGCTTAGGCTGCCAGTTGTGTGTGTCACTTGATTTGGGCTTTCGATCCTGAGCAGTCCATAGAGCTGGAGAGGAACCGAGAACCCTCTTCTGCAGCACGTCCCCATGGCCCAGATGTGTGCTTACCACCTTTGACCCCCTCTGATGGACCCAAGGTTTCAAGGGATAACAGAGTGTGTGTCAGTGTCCTGCCTCTTCCAGAGGGATGAGTCATCCATTGCAGGTTGCATTTCTAAGAGCCTTGGCTCACCTTTCAGCCAGGCAGATCCAAATAAGGCTCTTGTCATCCGCCTCTCCTACGTGCTTACCTCTTGGCCTTCTCAGGACAGTGTCCTCGGGGAGTCAACGTTTGTTTCCTGAAACGTGAGCGTGGGGAAGTGGGGTTCAGGCTAAGGGCCCCACGGAGGAGATTTTATTGTGTGTTGCAAGGTGTCCTGTTTTGAACTTGACATCCTTTGAGCTCTGTCACCCCGAAGTGTGCCCTTGTAGTTAGATGTCTGCTGTCCACCTGTGTTGTTCTTGGTTCTAGAAGAATTGAGAGGGGGTAGGACTGGCATCTCCACACTATGCAGGTCCGTGGAAGTTGTGTCCAGCCGACACCGGAGGCCAAAATGTCAGCAGGTTTCGATGCGCGCAGGTGCAAGGTTTCTGGCCTTCAGAAGCGACGTTCGCCATGTGCTTTTGCTTGGAGTCTTTGCAAACTAGACTGAATCACCGAGAGCAGTCATCGCTTTTTGTTTGCTATTTTTAGAACAAGCTCTTTGTTCTTTTTTTTTCTCCTTGAAAATGCTGTGTGTTGGGGATGATGATGTCAGATCCCTGTTATCTTTCAAACTATTTGCTCTTTTTGGTTTTAGAATATTGTACTATAAACCCCATTCTTTTCCATCATTCGTCACAGGTTTGGGGGAGATTTGAATCTGTTGAAAAGCGCGAGACGAGCAAGTGTGTGTGTTCAAAACACTTGCAGGTTCCCAGGTGACTTGTTTGAAAACCTGAGATGTTTGAAAAACAACTAAGTGATCATATCTGCTGAGCCTGAATCATCACATCCCTCTCAAAATCCACACACCAGAACCTAATTCCCAGTGTCGTAGTGTTGTCAGGTGGGGGTTTAGGGCGTGACCACCTTTCCTCCAGAGTGGAGTGGGCTCGGGCCCTTATGAAAGAGGCTTGGAGGAGGTTGATGTCCGTTTCTAGCCTGTAGGATCTGTAAGGAAGTCCCATCTATGCAGCAGAGGGGGCACACGATGACACGAGCACATTGAAGTTGACGTTCCCAGAACACTGAGCTAGACCTCTCCGTCGTACCCGATGCACTTTGTTATAGCAGCTCGACCTGAACTCAGATCACAGCCTGCCCATCGCTGAGAGGTGCAGTGCTGTTCTGCAAGCACAGGTTATGATGGAAAGTAAGAGCAGGGCCATCAGGTGCAAGTCCTTACTCAGCTGCTGTTCATTGCTTTCCTATGTCGGAAACGTTATTTCATTGTGTTTCAATGGTGGAGGGGCTTGTTTCATGGTGAGATATTCGAGTTCTTTCTAATATTTATTATTATGTGTGTGGAATGGGGAGGGAGTACGTGCTTGCCGTGGCACAT